ATATTATAAACATAATCGGGGTGTATAGGTAACCACCACTGTCATTGCGTCCGGCCCGCTATTAGGAATCGTTCATAGTAACAACGGTGATTATAGTATCAATGTTAACGAGAACGAATTTTAGTATTATTTTACGGTAGTAAATATGTGATAAACGGTTATAATCAAACACAATATAGTGAGGAAAGAATATGTGTTTTCTTTCGTTTATTTAAAACCCCGTTCTCGGGGTTATCCGCCAAAAGACTATCATGCACTTTTATCTAGTCCCAGTTGACGCATAAATAGGTTTCTCGATAATATTATAATAATGCGTTCATAAGACGTTGTTGATTAATCTAAACCGAATCCACTAGACGAGGTGGTGAGCATTTCAGTTTTTAGAGCGTGACACACGAACGATAAAAAAAGAAAAATAAACAAAAATAGAATCCCATTCATTGCCAAGTCACGGTCTTACGATTAACATTAATAAATTTCATTTTATTTTTCATTTCATGTTTTCTTTTCGACGTGTACTGATGGTCTCCTATTAAAACCACCGGAGAGACTCGAAATTGTTTTAACATGCATATTATATGTTTAGGTCCAGTTATATTAGATTTGTATTCAAGTATTTGAATTTTAGTAATAATTATTATTATAAATAGAAGAATCAAAGTGTTTACTATAACACTAGTATACATTTACGTGGACTAAGAAATAATATTTCAGTAGATATGCATAAAATACTTTAACAAAACTGAAAAAAAATTTGACAAAATATATCACGTAATATATGCCATTGTATCAGACTAATTGATAAAACAAAATAAAATGCTTCAAAAATATTTTTTTAAACATACAAACTTTGAATTTATTGTTTCACTATTTGTATTCACTATTTTTGTCAAAAATAATTTTAAACACTGCATTGGACATCGTAATTATTTTACAAGTTATGGATTTATATATATCATTGGTTAGTCTTTAATCTTTGATTTTTCCAATAAAAATAATTTACAACTTCTATATATTATTGTTTATAATAAAAATGCCAGCCTCTTTTAATAGTCAAATACATTTTAATAATAAACTTATCAAAAAACTATATGATTTATGTATATAATGCTGTTTTTTTATGAAATACTTTTTTAAGCCTTAGTTCAATGTCGGATTTGTAATTATTGAGTATAAATCAGTTAGTTTTAATCAAAAAAGTTTTCAAAAAAAGGTTAATTGAGTGGAAAATATCAAATCGTTTCATTTTGTATTATTATAACTATAAATGATAATACTCATCAATTTTTAATTCAAACGAATAAATTAATATAATAAACATAACAAAACATAACAGTAATGCATTTCGTTCGATGTGATAAATGTATACAATTTTTAATTACTTTTCTAGCTGTTAATACGAACGAATTCTGCAAATAGTTTTCACATAGAATGACATGCGTTGAGGAGTAACGAAAATCTGACAAAAAAAAAAAACCTATTAGTACTCTGGCGGGAAAAAACGAATTTGCCTAGTTTAAGGTCGTCGTTAAAAGTACACTGATATAACAAAAGACACTACGTTGGTTAAGACGCCATTATGCTTCATTAATGTCATGCGTAATTAGTCCCAAGTACGCACTGGCAATTGTGATATCACTGTCAAATGACTTGGAGTTTATTTTCCGCTTGTCGATTTCCATTCGATTCGTTAGTTAAACAATCATCGTTTGATTCCGCTGCAGAAATCTAATGAATATAATATATTCAATTCGCACTATATAAGTTCAATCGACTTAATCACAGGGGATCGATGTTTTTAGAGTTTGTATTCATTAGACGTAACGACGATAAATTTGACTAAACACACCTGACAATATTTTTGATTGGGGCCTACATCAGTAGCATAATAAAGTGACAATACAAGACGGAGCTTGTTGTTGTTTAGATGATATAAAAATATATTTATATTCATATATATTGACATTTCCGTTACAATTTAAATTCGTAGTACGAAAGTTTCGTATTTAAATGTAATCATTCAAAGTAGAGCCGGTTGTCATCACAATATTATTAGAAGATAAACTAAACACGTACATTTAAAGAGTGCAAATCTGACTGAATTGATACCTAAGTGTTTATCTGACTGAACAACAGTATAGTTCTTTTCAAGAAATAAATACGCGTATGTTGCGATAAAACTTCGAAAAAAAAAATGTGTTTCATGATTTGTTTTCATTTTCGATTTACACAACAATCGAAAACTACCACCCACGTCTTAAAAGTATGTGGATTTATCACCTACCGAAAGTTTGATCTTAGAAAAAAATTCTAAAATAATTGTCAATGTTCAAAAAACCGTATTACTCTTTGATCGCACTTTGAACTTTCAAAACGTTATGACAAAAAAGTTAGTTGAAGCCAAATATTTTTTCATTACTAGGTGAAATATCTCAAGCTTAGTGTTGCAAATAAAATTTTCAAATCATAAAACACAAACATTTTCATTTTATTAAAAGAAATAAAAATGATTGCGGAACAAAATTTATCATTATTTGCTAGTTTTTTTTTATTCATTTTTTCTTTTTTCTTACGCTCAAGAAAATCAGTAAAAAATTATCTTTTAAAAGTACCTTTGTGATTTTCCTAGTTTTAAAGTATGTAACATTTGGTATAGATTTACTGTTAGAAAGTTTTACCTTAGAAAAAAAATATATAGAAAAAACATATCAATACATTAAAACCAATAAATTGTTGTTCTCTAAAATTGAAAATACAAACAACTTATGTTTTTAAATAACTTAAATATTATATTTGTAATAATTTTTAATAAAATAAATTAAAAATGATTAAATGTTTAATAATCGTAAACTACTATGTAAAAAAATTAATAGTTTATTATTTTGTATATTGTAATAATGTGTTCATTTATTTCCAATATAATATTTTATGACATAATTTCACATTAGGAAAAACATTTTTTCACAATGTTTTTCATTTATTTGGGAAATCAATCTTCATACTTTAACATCATCTGTTTCATTAATAATATTTAAGTTAGTGATAGTTTATTTCATTATGTCAAAATTACAGTTACTTACATTTGAAATTATAATTATTTTAAATAATAAATTACTGATTTTTTCCACCATGATAAAATGACACCATTTTTTATATTTTTCAGAGTAAATTAAAATCTTATCAAAAAGTTTTTGCATAAACATTATGTAAATCAAATAAACATTTTTAAATAATGACTATGAAACAATTGAAAAATAACGCGTAAAAAGGGTTGGCAGATTAAAACAAATAAAATAATTGTCATTTTAATAAAAATTAATTCAAATCAAGTTATCGAGAAACGATAAGTCACAGGCAACCTCCTTATATTGTTTTACGGTACACAAAATCACAATATTAATATTATATTATAGTGCCCTAACCCTGTGTTGCAGTAGACAATAAACCCATCGGAAACAATCGCTTTTACTTAAAATATTCGTTCCATTGTAAACGTGAACATAAAAATTGGTCCTGGAGTTTTCTCCGATGCTTTTTCCCTCCTCGTTTTCGATCAAATATAGCTGAATAAGCCTACTCTGCGGTCATTCACGATAAACGAAAAAATAAAAACAACGTGTGCAAACAACCGATGGCTGCATATTTGTGCATCCATATTATGCACCGGCTCGTCGTGGTTCATGGTCAATGCCCTCGTCGGGTGTCCTATTTTCGGGACAACTTTTACGCGAATTTTTTTTTTTTACTGCCGTCGTATTAGTCCTACGTAAAAAAAAAAAAAAACATGTCTATTAATATTAACATCAACAAACCATTAAGTGCACCGTTGACGACTTTCGCGCGAGGACAACCTTTCATCTCGAGCGATCGTTTCTCCTCCGCAATCAGTGAACGTCCGAAACAGTAGACCGGAACAACGTAGTGATAGTAATCAGGCTGAAGCCAAAAAACGAGTGGTATCGAAAATTACGTTTCAAGTTTTTATATAGATACCAATACTTACCGCGTCATTTATGCCGTCGGCATTTATAAGCGACTGCAAGTTTCTGCCGAGGGTCTGACCCAGTGGCGCGACCAAGATTTTTTTAAGGGAGGCTCCAAAAATATAATTATTTTAAAGTAGCTAGCAAATTTAATTATTATTTTATAGTTTGATTAATGCAAATATCGTAATTATAATGTAAAACTAATTGATAATGAAATGTATAATGTAAAATAGAAAGAAAAAAGGTATGTATAAGATTATAAATTGAAATCTAAGCAATGTTTTGTGTAGCTTAAATTTTGTATTACTTCTACGGGTGTTATACCAACTTTGTAGTGGACATTGAGAGTAGCTTCAAATCAATTACTCAATTTTACCAAACATTATTAATTTAGAAAGATACGACACGGTTCAAGGAGGGGGATCCGGATCCAAGGACCCCCCCCCCCCCACTGGTTGCACCACTGGTCCAACCAAACCTTTAATGGTAACCTATGCCATGGATAAATGTGTTTTGGCTGGCTTAACGAAAATCACGGTAACTTCAACCATAAATGATGGTTGTATATGGTTCTATGACTTGACGATCAGTCATAATTACCATGATTACAAGTGAAAATCGGAGAGGTTTTGGGAGCAAATCTCTCTAGAATTCCTTAATAATTGTTCATCCCCGTTCCCGATGGTAACGATTACTACCTACTCTCCGCAACGGTAAAAATCAAAACTCTCCCGGGGGTCTCGATAGATTTACGCAGTGCACATTGGTCCGTTACCGGTTTCGTTGCAGACGGCGAGGCGGCAAACGGTACAAGTCGCACTATGATAATAATATTGTCGTCGTCGTCGTCGTCACTATGAGGATATTAGGTCAAGAACGTGGCCGTGCGCAGTTGTACCATGTGCATCATATATATTCACAGTAGGAACGCGTTGCGATCGACTAGGGAACAGGTGGTGGGCGTCGGCGGCTTCGGGCCGGGTGGGAGAGACGTGGCGCTGACGGAGGAACAGATCTGCCGGTTCCGCGACACACAACGAAACACGTCGTGCCATTGCTCCTTGTCTTTTCGGCTTCAGCTGCCATTCCAGTCTGGTCCCTCAACCCGACACGAACACACGCGCTAAGTATCGCACGCACAAGAAGTACACCGCCGTCGTCATCCTGTAACAGTGTCCTGCAGCAGTAGAACAAAGGAAAACAGTAAAATGTCCATCGCCACAGCGGTCAAACTCGTAGCCGTAGTCGCGTTCGTCCTGCAGCAAATCTCCGTGGGGCTTGGTGAGTATACACGACCGCGGGACATTGCGATTGCTATAATTATTATTATTTTTTTTTTTTCAACTTTTGTTCCGACGCGCCTTTCTTATAATTGATACGTGTTCGCAGCGTCCGATCATCACAGGCGCGGCAAAGAGCTGTTGGACACCGAGGACAGCGATTTCTTTCGATGCAAACAAGCCACTAGAAAGGTAAATATTTTTTTTCACCGATTCGTTCGTCAATAGTGTCAAAGCAGCAAATTTTATTTAGCGGAGCGGCGCTTGGTTTTGAAGTGAAATTTCGATTTTTAAACAAACACCCGTGACAAATATGCCCCGTCAAATGTAATCAATTTGTCTCCTTTATTTGTCCAATTTTTCTATATATGTTTATTATACTATGTAGTTACAATAATAATTATTAAACCGTACATAATCATTTTCACCGTCGAGATTCGATTAGCATTCTGATAAATGTATATTGTTATCTTACAATGATATTGCCATAAATACGCACAACCATTGTGATACGCATGAAAACATGGTGGACGTTTTTGGAAATAATGATTTTAGTCCATCGTCCTGGTTGATTTAATAAAAACATAATAGTTCCTTTGTTAAGCTACAACAATGTTAAAACTATCCAACGTTAAAACCGTTAGATTCTTGTTTGAAAGTTTATATCAAATACGAATTTAAATCATAATCTGTAATGGAATATATTTTACCGTAAACAGTTCAAGCCAAATGATAAGTTTACTTTGTTTATTTAAAATGTTATTTTTGCAATAAGATGACAGTTATTTTTTGTCACATCGAAAACTAAAATAAATATATATTATACTATTTTATATGTCTTATGGTCTATAAATAACGTTAAATAACTAACTCAAACTTGATGTAATAATAAAACCCTATAAATTTAATTAATTTTCAACCAAAAATTAACACTAAATAAAAAGCTTACATAACTTCTACAATTGTTGTCAAATTAAAATTAATTTAATGTTTTCTTATTAATTTTAAATTACACAATGGAAAAAATATGTCTAATAATCATTTAAAAATCACAACGATTCAAAGACTATGAATTATTCATATTAGAATTTTTTATGTTTACAATGGTCTAATTTACCATAGTTAATTATATTTAAAAGTAATACTAATGGATTCAAATTAACAAATTTAAAAAAACTATTGATATTTGCCCCAGAATATTTTAACACATATTTTATACGTCATAGTGTACAACTATTATATCTTCTCAGAAAAATTATTGAATACGTACGTAACGTAATTTAAAGTTTATTTTACCGCAACAATATGTACTGTCTTTACTGTTACAATTCAATTATTATTTAATAAGTTCAGCAAATCTTATAAACTTTAAAATAAGTTTAATTAAAACATAATTAATATTTTATTCGTTTTAATTAAACAAAGTATAAATCAGCATTTTTTAATTCTATTACTATCGAGTTTTAAATACGCTGATCCACATTTGATTGGCTTTTAGAAAGTCTATTGTTTTATATTTTCTTCTTATTATAAATATACATCTTTATATTTAATAAATCAATAAATACTTCAAATAAAACAATTCAATTATATTCTATATTTTTTTATGTCTAAGATATATTCATAAAACTACTAGTATTATACTGCTAAACATTGAATGGAAAACTTTAGACTGATTAAACTCGGTAAAATACTCGATTGAATAGTCAATTTCAATTAACTTGTCGAGTACAGTTTGGGTCAATAAACTTGGAAGAGAAATTAAATAGTAGTGCTTGTTTTTCTTGGACAAGCTATATAATTTATATAGTAGAGTGGGAAAAACAACGAAGTTGTGCTAATAAATTATTACGCGATCAAGTTTTTTTTTTTTTTTTTTAATGAACAATATTTTAAAATAATTGGTAACAAAATTTATAACATACTTTTAAGCTTGATCATGTTTACTTTCATAGGAAATATAATTCAAAAAGTGTGAAAAATACTGTATCCATGCATTAAAAATATAATATCTGCTAATAATATTAATTAATATAATTTTTAATCGCTTAGAGGTATAGGGATTAATGAGTTTTAATTTAGTGAGAACAAAAAAGTTACAAATATCAAACGAATAGTAAAAGTGTGTATTTTTAAATGTAATACAATTTAAAAAAATACCTATCTCATTTGTAAAATGTATGGAATATTTTAAGTACAGTAATATTTTTATACCTAAATGAGCAGATCACTCAAGATCTCATCATAATTTTAATGAACTGTATACTTAATTTATTAAAAACAACTATCTAATTTAAAATTGTGCAGTTAGATTTTAGAACATACACGCAGTAAAATACTAATAATAATTATAATAAATGCAATAACTGTTTTGAAATAATTTCTGAATTACATTCCATTAAAATTCTAAGATAATTAACAAACATGAATTATTTGAACATTTCACAACCCATTCACTTTGACAGTGATGTATTAATTAAACATTTGTTGCTGTCCACTTGCATTTAATTTGTTTAAAAATGTATCATTGTAACATTAAAAATCTTTAAGATAATTGTCTGGCTATCGTGAGCCATAATTGAACTGAATAACATTATACTCGTAGTTTTACAATGCAATTCATTTTTCGAATTTTTTTTGTTATTATATTTATTTGTCATCGTATATTTTCACACATATTTTATATTATACACTTGTTTTCGAAACATAAAACGATCTTTGTACAAATTATTATTAAGGCTAGTTGTTTTATTATTAATATTGATTAAAATATATCTTGCGTTTGAACAAGGCAATATTTCCCCGATTTTAATATTTCGTATTTTTTCTTTTGAAAATTACTTTTTTAGATGATAAAAACCATTATGTTCATAATATTTATTTAGTGGTGTACTAATCGATCTAAAAATAATTAAATGTTTATTATGAAAATACGATAATGGAAATTGGTAGAACAGTACGTTATAGTATTCGCATTAAGTTTTACGATAAAACAGTTTTATGTAAATAACACTAAATTAATTTTTACAACCACATTCAATTTTTGCAGTGTTCGCGTATTTATTGTTTTATTTTAATATAAAATTTATCGCCATAGTTTTTTTTTTTTTTTTTTAATAAAATCATTTACGAGCATAAATAGTAAGTGCATCTTTATTATCTACAGAACAACAAAACTTTATGACTTACTATACAATATTTTCTTACATTACAGAACTCGGTGTGCCGAGAAAACAAATAATAAAAAAAAACACGCCAGTAAGCTTTTAAGCATACTTATTTTAACAAAATAAGTAAATAAGTATTTAATTATTTTAACATTAACGATATTGATGAATAACATTAAGTACTTTTTGTTCATTCATTCCAAAATTTCGCAGTAATATCTGATTACAATTAAATAAATTAACGGTATCTTGGTCTAAGTACGGTATAATATAACACATTAACCATTGTATACGTTACATAAGCAGTTTTGAATTATTTTTATTTTTAAATAATACATTACCCGTACTAAGATTACCTATAAGATATTGGTTAGTTCTACATTATACTAACGATAAACTTAAATTATTACTAATTAAAATAATTATTTATTATTCCATATTCCTTAAAAACTTATTTATTAAAAAAAAAAAAATAAATAAATATTTTATAAACAATAACACGTATGGTATTAATATTGTAACGATTATAAAATATCATTTAACGCTTAAAGGAGAAAACTTGTCGGCTAACACTAAATTTTCCGTATTTCATTAATCTAAAATCAGGTTGATCCAAATAAATCGTTTTTCCTCGAGCATTTAAATTGTTTAGTCTATCATCGTTACACATACCCAAGGAGACTGGACCAAACTTTACTTTTAGATAAACTTATATTCGTGATAAAATTATTGTGCTAAAGTTTCTTCTGGTTTGCAACAATACGTACAGTGCCAACTTATCAAGAGTTTTTGATCACAAAATCATTCCTGGTTGCTGCGATAGGAAAATAGAAATCTTTATAAAAAACAAAATTAAAACACATTCGCCGCTCCATTCAGGATTTAAAAATCTTAGTTTTTAATCAAATCTCGCACTGTTTGTACTAGTATACGAGTATGTATATTTATAAACACACGTATACTTGTAAAATAAATTTAAAACTTAGTATAATTATTATTATAATTATTTTCTTTTTTCAAGTCATGCTGTGGCAAGGAAAACTCGTTAAAACGATTTGGTGATAAAGACAAAAAAGCGGCCGACGAATGTTACGCAGAAGTAGCCGAAAAGTTTGCAAAGGTTTCAGGTAATTCTAATTGGTCACAAAATTACTTTTCAGCAAAACTTTTTGTTCGAAGAGGTTTCTATTGGACCACTATAACATGTTTTATAACTTTTAATAATTATATTATTATCATATTCCGACGTTTTAATACTACTGCTATTTCGGTTGAATTATTGCAATGCTCAGAGTGTGCTTGTATTGAAATATAATTTTTAATACGCAATATCCATATTTTACTTAAGTTGTAAACCTAAATCAAAAGTAATTCTATATCATCAAATGAAAACAATAAAAAAAACTCGATAAAATTGTTTGTATTTGCAGAAATAAGTTACGAATTTTAATTGTTAATCGGATAAAATTTATCGTAGTCTAAGTGAATTCCTTATAAATTATATATTTTTTTTTTCACGTGATATTTTTATAAATTAATTTAAACAAACACTAAATCGTAACAAAAAGTAATATGGTTTGTGTAGTGGCAGTAATAATTAAAACTATTATTATTATTATTATTATTATTATGTTTAGGTATGTTATTTGTAAAATATTTTGAATAATCTACTTAATAAAACGTATTTCAAACATTTTAAGATGTGTTCCACGAGTATGCATGTATGCATTTACTTAACTTAATCAAGTTATGATAATTTTAGACTGAAACTTTCAATTTTCAAGATTTCTATTAAAACACAAATGTATCCACTTTTAATCTTAGTTTTTTCTTTAAGTTTTCCACATTGTCAAAATAAACAATAATTTATGCAATTTTATAAAGGAAAATAAACAATTTAAATAATAAAAATAAAAAAAACGTTGGAAATAGAGTGTTACATATTTTATATTTTTAAATAGTGAATTTTTAATGACTTTTAAATCATGATATGTTAGAAAGCAAACAAACATTTTATTTTTACAAAGACAATCATATTTTAATTGATTTGTTTATAGAAATCTATTAATTCCATTAAGAAATAGTATTTTTTCATTGAAGTTGTATGACGAAAATAGTTTACATATTTAAACTTATCATAAATAAAACATACGTAAGCACCTGTACGTGTGTATATGTTTATGTGTGTGTGTAATCGTATATCGCACCGCGTAAATTATGCTTCGAAAATATTTTAAATCTAGTAAATATTAAAATTTGAATACTGTTTGCCTTTTCATCCTACTTTCTAATTTAAAAAAGAAGAAAAAAAATAATGAGTCATAAAAACTTGAACCCACTCCAGAATTCCTCCGGGCTATTTAATTTTGACCCTTCGGTGTATACCTACTGCACCTTAATTTGCATAATATCTCCTATCACCTATATACTGTGCGGTGGTATATATTGATGCCTTTTTACAACCCGACCGCCATTACAAAAGGAAATTAACTTGCGTATATTTTCATTATAATAATATTATATGATCGTCGCTTGCCGAATTCAAAACATTTTAAGTCCCGCACAATCAAAATTATTCAAACTATACGCCACACAAGTTTAATAATTATCGATCATAACCATACTATTAGAGCAGTGGTTCCCAATCGGGGGAGGTAAATTCTCCCCAAAGAGGAATTTAAATTCAGCGTGGGGGGGAATATAATGATGATGAAATAACCAGAATTTTGTAGTTAAAATAATTATACTGTTTTATAGTCAGTAAAATTAAGAACAATAGATTTATATTCAAACGGTTGTCCATCGATAACTATTTTATGAGTATATTAATGATTGATTTCTTCGCAGGTAATTTAATATATATATATATATAGGTACAACGTTTAAACATTAATGATCAACTCTTCTCCAAAAGCTACAGAAAAATCTTTCCGTGCATTAATCCCATTTGTTTCTACTTATCTTCGTGAGTCTAGTTATTCTACATTTTTGCAAATAAAAAACAAATAAATCGATTAGTAGTAGAAAATTATATGCGTTACGCGTTGTCAAAAATATTTCCATGGATTAAGGATTTAGTAAAAAAAAAAAAACAATCCCAAATTTCTCGTTAAATGTATTAATTAATTAATTTTTATTTATTTATAAAATTTCATTTAACATTCATACGTTGAAGCAGTATAATATTTTGCTTATCCGCAAACCCAAATATGTGTATAATACATAATTGTATATCTAAGAGGAAAGATGGTTAATTTTTTGTTTTTTAGAAAATCGTTTTGGAAAAATATATAAATCCCGAATTAATTTAAAAAAATAATAAGAAGAATTAGAGCCCAGTAAGGGATTATAATACAAAAATCTTCGTTATCTATTACAATTAATAATTTCTGAAATTAAAATCTTGATTGGGCGCGTATTATAACATTATTACGTCATGCTAACGCAAATTATGAAATCTATATTTTTCTAGCTAAGAATATTATTATTACCATCGAACCACGTCAATGTCATTTTATATTGGCCCCAAAACTAATTCTCGTCGGTTGGTCAGTGAAATTGCAATATATATATATATATATATATACACGTACACGTCCAGATTAAATTCTACTCTGGTGTCCAAATGTATTAAATTCTTGATTAGTATCTTGTTTTTGAAAATATATGTACATCATAATATAACACTGGTATAAATTAACACGGAAATTAATTTTCTGTTTATTCTATATGTTAATTTTCGCGGTGATATCAAAAAGAAGTTACACTTGTACCTGTTATGTATATTTTAAAATATAATATTTATTAATATAAAGAAAATCTTATTTTTTTCTTCGTAATATTAGAAGTATCCGATTTTACCGTAACATAAATATGTTTATGATTTATAATTGTAAATCGACAACCTATATTTTGTTATTATAATAATAATTCAAACATATCAATGGAAAATTCATGAATCAAAATTAGTCGATTAAAAAAATAGCTTAAAAACAGCTAATATTTATTAAAATAGTCAAATTAAGAAAAATAAATCAAACCTTCATAAATATTATATATTGTATACAATATTAACTATGATCGATACTTATATTTGTCTGGAGAAATTTTTTACCAAACGCGTTGATTAATAGTGATGATACGATGTTAAAGGTGATCAATATTCATACATAATTAAGATTATTTAAATTCTGATTTACCGAGGCATTACTAAATCTAATGTAAAAGTTGGCTGAAACGATATTAGTTTGAAATAATTAATTTCATTCTCGTCATCCGACGGGTATTATGGAATTACATCGATATTATCACAATAATTAAAGAATCAAATTAATATTTGTGATTAGCTATACCTTTAGAATATAAACAATTTTACTGATTTTTGACTAAATAAATTTGAGATTGAACTACAAATATAGAAATATCTATAAAAATTACTTCATAAATAATAAATATATAACAGCATAATATAGTATCTACATCTAAATCTATATTATACAATTAATCGTATATACCAATAGACGTTTTCAATTAATATTAATGTTTGATTTTTAATTTATTTTAACCATATTTAATCCATTGATCTGTCGTTTCAATACGAGTGAAAATGCAAATTATTAAAATGTTCGATGATTGAAAACAAAATTATTTTTTTATTCTTTTAACACAATAAATCAACACTGAACCTAATTTTTTATTATTATTTCACAGTTGCACCAAAGCAAGACCTATTTTCCAGCGAAGCCGTAAAGATTACCAAGAAGAAGCAATTCGTAAGTAACTTAAAAATACTCTTTTCTTATTCAACCGTATGGCTAAATTATATTTTTGTTATTTGTTTTCCAGTGTCTTCACGAGTGCATCGGCAAGAAAAACCAATTGGTAAATCAAAATCAATTATTATGAACTTAATATATTCAATCGCAAAAATAAATATATAAATCAAGTGTTTATACTAATTTAATCGAAAACACTTTTTTAGCTATTGGAAGACGGTTCCCTGAATAAAACTTTCATTAACGAGTATGCGATGAAGAGCATCTTCAAAGAACAATGGCAGAAACAAGTAGGACAGAAAGCATTGGACAAATGTCTCGGAGAGACCTACAGTAAGTGACACCACCTCTACCATAAACACAACCGCCGTGTAACTTTATTATAAATGCGTGTACAGAGTGCAACCGAAAGATCAGACAGATTTCTTGGCGGTTTTAAAGCGTCTTGAACTTCCTGCATCACCCTGTGAATCACCACTATCGGGGCTTAAAGTTTTTTCACCGAATAAAAGCCGTAACGCTAAACGCTATGTGATTTTAACGCGTACGCGCAGGATCTCGCAAAAAGCTCGTACATCTTACTTCTCACTTCGTTCGACCTTTTATTTCGGATTTTCTGATGATTACAAAATATTGTGTAAATAATAGTTAGATCAATGATGAAACAATGAAGCTCTCTCTATCTTTCTCTTCTGCTATTTCTTTTGAATCGAAAGCCTAGTGAAGAAATTCCCATTGCACGAGCGTAGTGCACCTTTATGCGGTTTCGAGTAAAAATGCATACATGTCCATTTTTAAGCGAGTCGGTAAAACTTATATTTGCTTCACTTTTTCTAAAACTAACTCATTTAATGACTATAACTGTATACCGTTGTTGCCAATGATAATGCCCGTATAGTTTATACCAGTACCAATGTAAGTACAGCCATAAAACGCACACCTGCTGTCACGTATGATTTTTGTCTTATTAATTTTCACTAGCTTTATAACTCATGCCCAATTCGTGAACATTATTTTCTTGAATTGTCTGTTAAATGTTTTTACCTTTGCGAACAAGCTACTATTCGAATTAATTCTCTTATATAGAAACACTGATATCATCAACAATATTCCCGTTATCATGACCGATGTGTATACTACTTTTCCACTCACGGTAGTTATATTATAAATATAAACGCGAGTGCAACACACGCACGTTAACCGTGTTAACATAATTATAGCTTTGGCCGATGTGCGAAAATTCGATTAGCTCCCAATCAGGTTTAACGGTACACATGATACACGCGTTTATTCGCTAACATTGATGCCGTCGGTAAATCATTAAATATTTTTCTCCTTTTTTTTTCGTTGGCACATTTTTACATAAACCGGATAACTTCACCTGGCCAATCATTACTATTTCAATATTACTGATAGTGATATGTTCCAGAACGTTTATGTATATACCAGACCATTTAAGTGTATGCAATATGCAAATATCGGACGTAATATTATTCTAATGATCGTTTTACATGTCTATCGGCAATAACTAACAACGTTAATTTTCAATTCTCATCGACTGTATGTACATGGCCGTAGACAATATTACCCATTATCATTTTTAAGGTCACATCTATAAATCGACCTTTATTATTATTTAACATAACAAAAAATATAGCGTCTGATGCCTACAACAATTTTGCTAACTTGCAACACTTCTAAATCATTAACGGTTAATGTGCTGCGTTCAATTATTTAATTTTAACATCATTTTTTTTTTTTTCAAAACTTCAACGTAATAGCACAAATATATTTTGACCTTCAACATTTAGTTCTTAACTAAATATTTTTTATAATTTTACGTTTATGTATAATACCGATAATTACAGGAAAAACATATTTTTAATAAATTATGTTAAATAACAATATTTTTCTCAATTTTTTTGTCATAGCTGTTTGTTTATTTGTCACATCTATGTTTGTTTAGAATTTAAATCCGGTGGCGGCACCCGAATAGTACATCGACTGATTTTTCGCGCATTATTATTCATATATTGTACACTTTGATTCGTTTACAAATTCACTTTTATCGATAACATGACCTACTCGTTTATTATTTACTTAATACTAATACCTACTATATTTAAGTGTTGCATATGAGAATAATGTTGTGCACTTGAGATAAAACGTTGATTTAGTTGTTGATTTTATTAAACATTCAGAACCCTCAGCTCTCCTCAGCGCTATATTGATTTAACGATTATTATTTATATTTTCAACCAAACAACAACTATATGTTATACTAAAGTGTATATTTATGCATATAATAACAATGTATTCCGATGATACACAACCACGTATCATACTAATGAATTATTTATTGTTCTGCTATATTTCACCGTGGCGTTTTTTCGAATGAGGAGTAGTTGGTTTTATTATTGATTTTTTTTTTTTTTTTCGTCGAGAAATATAAAAACTAAACAATTTGTTTTACTTCGATCTTGATGCATATTTGTTTTTATTTTTGGTCAAAAATCAAAAATTACTTTTGAAATTGTGGTAGAATGGGTAAACAAACATTCATTTTTGGGAGTTCACTGCAGGTTTAAAGTCTCACTTCCTTTTTTGTATTTCGATATTAGCCTACAGCCTATACAAATATATACAGCAAATAGGTTTCTGTTTGTTACCTCCGCTCTAATTTATGGATTTCAACGTGATGTACGCGGTCTAACATAAATGTTACACTATACTGTAACGTCGTGTTTTACGTTTCAGTTCCGTGGCCAGCAGAAGAAACAGAAAACAGATGCAATCCTGAATACGTACAGTTTCAACACTGTCTGTGGCTGGAATATGAATCGGTGAGTTCGAACCGTTTGTTTCCTTTATGTAAATGATATTGAAAACGTTCTTAATCGATAGACACTATTTTCGATCATGTTTCCAAGTATCGTACTTGTTCATTTTTGGAGTTGTATTTTTTTTTCTATGATAATCTCGATTGCGCTTTCAGCGGAAAACATTCGATTATAATCATAATATATGCTATGTGGTATTTAAAAACATATGTTCCTTTACAAAAGTAATGGTTTAAACCATAGTTATATAATTTAATGAATTTAGTATGAGTTCCAACCAGTCAATATCCCTTTTAATAATGCTATAGAATCATATCAAGATATTTAAAATATATTTTCAATGCAGAAGTATTCATTAACATAATAGTAAACCAAAATTCCACAAAGCGAATGATTATCATAAAAAAAAAAAATATTAAAAAAATATATTTTTGTATTTATGAAGAAAATTAAACAAATATTAAATTAAAACTAATGAGTAGCATATACTTATGAATGTACTAATCATATTACATATATTTAATAAAAATAATTAATAATTCATCAATTTAATTTCAAACTTTTTTTAAAAAAACTTATATTGGTATTTATTTTTATTTAATTTATTTTTTTATGAACATCAGATATAACGTTTTTTTACTATTTTACAAATTAAATAAATAAATGACTGCATGAATATAGATTATTATATATATTTTTTTTAATGTAAATTAAATAAAATTAAGAAATTAAATATCAAAACTAAAATCTGAAATTCTTTTAGTAATTTTAGTATTTTTCAATTTCAAGTCGAAAAAAAGAAATTACTGATTTTGATTTAAATAATAGTAAAATTTTTTATACGATAAAAAAAAATATATTAAAATATAAATATATAAATGCACTTCTATAATAAATATACATACCTATTAAATATATAAAATATTTTTTTTCAACTTTAAAATATTATAACGATAACTACAGATTCATTAAAATTCTATAAAAATAATACATAATAATCGATATCCAATTGCAATATTGATTCTGTTTCAATTTAAATATTTAATTTGTACGATAACTTAAAATAATGTTCTTTATAAACTAGTGAACAATAATATATAATTTAACATGGAAATAAAATTATAAAATTTTATGTAAAAATAAAAATCAATACTTATTTATATTTACGTAACACTAACTAACTTGGTCATTAAATTAATATAAATCTTAATACTGTTATTACATTGAGGTTTTTGTTAAAAGTTTCTTCATAATGTTAATTATTATTATTATTATTATTATTATTATTTTTGTTTTATTATTATTAGTATCATTATTATTACCATTATTATAATTATTATAATTATGATTTACTATATAAGTAAGTACTACGTGTAAAGCATATATAATTTAATAACTTTCATATGGATATTTGGTTTTATGAACTTTATATTATCATTAAAAATGTATATGAACAAATATGACATTTTGATGAAGATCAAACATAATTATATTCATAATTATATTATATTACAATAGAATCAATGAATTTCTTTATATTGAATATACATTTAATATAATGATTATATTTATTTTTCAGAACTGCCCGAACGATCAACGTAAAGTCAGCAAGTTGCTATAAATTTGATTTAAAAAAGAATAATAATATATTAAAAATATATTATTATTTTATTTTATATATTTTATTATATATATATATATATATATATATATATATATACTAACTTATTTTATTATTTTGTGGCAGGCAAAAAATGCGAGAAGACGCGAAACAGGTACAGGATGCAAAAATCTTCCACAAATTAATTATTTACAAATAAATTAAGATTTTTTTTTCAATCCGGTTTATTTCGGTATTAATAATATTATGATGAGTACAAATTTATCAATCGATTCAATGAAATATTAAAATTTAGAATTTAGTTTAATTATTATTATTAATATTATTATAATTATTATTATTATTATTATTATTATTATTATTATTATTATTATTTTATTATTACTATTATTATTATTATTATTATTATTATTATTATTGCTACTATGATGCCTATATTTATAATGTCAGTTGTCTTAAAAAGCAAAACAAAAAATTATATTCTTATTGAATTTATAAATCCACCATTATTATATTATTAAATTTTATATATTATTTTTTATTTTTATTTTTTCTAAATTATCAATTATTTTTATATTATCAATAAAAAATATGGTTGTTCAGTTCTTAAATTGTGTAGATGGATATATATAAATTGCATACTTTGTACACTATTTTATTATGAATATTACATTTAATACATAATAATAGATAACTTATACAACGAGTTCTTATATAATTTTTTTTTTTTTTGTGAACCTTCATTGCTTTCGTCGGTGCTAATCGAACTTTTTCACAGCTCTGAGAATTAAAAATTAAACGTCCTCTAACAATATGAAATAAACATTCACACATACTAAATTATAACTATATTGCAAAGATAATTTTTAATTTTTTTATTGACATTATAAATTATATATTAAAGTATGTAATTGTATTTTTATACTGCGTTTCAACTACTAATCAAAATGTGTGGTCAAACAAAAAAATCACAATAATTTTCTCGAGAATAGTTTTATTTTATATCAATGGATTATGAACGTGGTCTAAATTTTATTTTTTACCATTTGTTAATTTATCTAGATAAATTAATAGATAACATTATGTACGCTGTTTATGATTGGCATCCTTTTAAATCTTGCCGTTTCAACTTTTCTTACCTTCTATGTTATTTTTAAAAATCATTTTCTGTTTTTACGAACAATTACGGATTAATAATACTGATACTATTAATAGTACACTAGATAGTACTAATGTACACGACGGAGCAATTATGAAAATAGTAGTATATACACATCTGTCAATCCACTGCAGGTTCTCAAATCGTGGTCCGCGAGACCCGCAAAGGTTTTTTGGAAGTAATCCATAAGCTCCGTGGACACATTAAATCAAATTCACATATAATTATTAATAAAATGTATGTAAAATTGTATATTATTGGGATCGTAAGTCATCTGAAAATTACTTACATTATATATATATATATATATATATATACACATATTTAAATTATTGGTAATATAGATAATCCAATAGGTATATATTGTAAAAAAATACGCATTCCACATAAACAAATTAAAAAATTAATTGTCGATGAATCATTTTATTTTATAAATTGTGGTTTGAAATTGGCATTCTTGGCTTTTAAGGCTCCATGGATTTTTCATTATATCTTGATGGCATTGTGAGCAAAAAAAGTTTAAGAACCGTCGCTCTTCGCAACAATGTTTCTCGATTCGATCGGTACCGACAACACGTTCGGAGAGGGACTTTGTTTGTTCGATCTAGACCGTCGTCGTCGTTTATCCAACGTAACGGATCGGAAACTCATCAGAAAGTAAAAAGAAAGGGAAAACCGGGAAAAAAAGAAAATTAAGAGAAAAAAACTGGCAAAGGGGAAGAGTTTAACGATCGATAGCGTCCGTGGCGCGTAATGAAGGTTTGAGGAACGCGCACTAATACGCGCGTTCCGAATCTTCGTCATTATCATTATACTTAACCGCGATCATTATCATTATTATCGCGATCGTTATTATTATTCCACCTCTGTTCTCTACCCCAAATACTCGAAACCCCCACTCGGGTAAACGTTTTACGTAATGTCCCGCCGCCACGTTTTATATATGTACTCGGGAGCCGTCTTTTGTATCAAGATTCCTAAATGGCTCTCACTCATTCAATGTAATAATTCCTCATCGGTTCTACGGGCGTTTATCGATTCCATCGATTTCGTATGAATTCCGTCGAAAATATTACCATTGTTCATATTTTCTTGTGACCATAATGATGACCGAGAGGAAAAGTTGACAGCTAATGCATATACAATTTTAAAAATGCGATAATCTTTATCCTTCGCATAATACTGCGGGATGATCACTCATTTTTATAAACAATATTTGTTGTGGGCCATCGAACTGTGAAGAAATTCGTGTGTTGACTTATTCGGGTGGAAAGGTAACCGAACGAGATTTCACCATAATTCCACGTATATAAGTGCGCTAACCTAACCATGGTCGACACAGTGGCCGAGATGAAAAATTTGTATAAATAACACAGAACGTATAATATTTTTCAGTTAAACTCGATGATCTTAAAAGGTCCTGATAATAATTGGTCCAGGCACGTCGAAACGTCGTTAAGCATACTGCAGTTTAAAATTGTGCTGCATAAATATTAACAATCTATCTTTACCCAACCGCATATTATACTGTACTCGTGTCACAGCTGCAGTTTATAATATACACGTGTAGGTTTCCGCGTGTTATTGCGATCGAAAAGTACCGTTTACGTGCGCCTTGCTGCACACTAGCGCGGTCACGCACCAATGCAAAATCAGAACAATATTGCGCCCCTTATACCGTTTACAACTAACAACTCTTAATATACGTGTGTGTTTTATGTACCCGAGAGTAAAACGTTCCAAAGCGGTTCGTGCCGAGAGTGTTTGGTTACATCAATGTTTCTATGGTATAAAAATTATCCATACACAATCTCACCGTGTGCTACGGTGCCCCTACGGATAGCATTTCTAATATTATCGTAAAATAAGTAATGACCTCAGAAATACCAGTACTTTAAAAAAATAAAATAACCGTAAGTGTAACAGGCTATCGTATTTATGTACGCGAGAAAAGTTTTGGAAAAACATTACGTAATCGGTGTTATAATAATTTATATAAAAAAAAAATTAAAAAAACATTTGTTTAATGTGATATAAATTTTGATAAAAAGACGAAAACGATTCAATGAAATAATAGTATGGTTGCCATAATATGCCACCTATAGCTATAATATTATTTCACATCAACGTTAATTGTAGTTCACAATGGCAATAGTTTGTTTTTACAATTGGTTAATTTGATACTTTCACATTTCCGTGACGTTTAAACGTTATATTTATATTAATTGTTTTTCGATACTCGGTGTGCTGTAGGTATAACTGATAATCTATCGAGAATATTCGGGTGCACGAATCATTATTAGTTCGCTAATAGTTTTTTTTTTCATTTAAATTACGGTACTGTTACTGTTGAACATGTAATCAAGTCAATAACGTGAAAAGCATCTGGAATGATAGCAAACCGCGATTTTTTATCAAATTTATCCGAGATCGTTCAACATCTCAAAGGTGAAATCGTGTAATATTAAAAAATAAACACACATCTGTAGTTGGTTCTCGTTAACAATATTATATATTACCGAAGCTGGGCATTAACGAGTTAAAAATTAAAATTAAGTTAATATTAACTAAGTTAATTATTCGTAACTTTATTTTGGAACTAACTTTCAATTTAATAATTTACTTTTTCAATGTATATAACGTGTTAACTAAAAGTTGATTTTATATATGTGTAACAATATTAATTCTCATTAATTTAATATGAACCAATTTTTCATATGACTTTGTTTATTTGAGAATTATTATTATAATTTTACAATAGCTTGTATAATAATAGTTTATAAAATAATTGAAATTAGAAGAATTAATTTAGGGATTTACTTAAAATTTATGTATTTTACGAAAATTGTTCTTATATTGTTCATATAAAAATCAGTAGGAATAAATAAATAGATTTACTATGAATGCATATATATATATATAGAAACTATTAAAAAATTGTATAAGTGAAAGAGCTTCTGGATACCTTAAAGAGTTTTTTCAGTGTAGTCCAGTATTTCATTGCATGAAATAAAAATGAAATAAATAAATACTAGTTTTAAAGTACCACTTGTATTTATAAAAATACTCCAGTTCAACATTTGTTTAACTTTATATTTAATTGATTTTTTAATAGTTAAAAATATATAGATTATTCTACCCCTTTGATGAGTGGTAAAAGAGTGAATATAGTGCTCAATGGTCCGTTTTCTAAATACGAGAAAAACTCTAAGCTTACAAATTATCTAAATTTATATCATTTTTAGAAATGCTATTTTTATTACCAATGAGAAAATGTAATTTTTTTTTTTTAATAAACTTAATCCATTATTCTCCGGCTGGTCCTGCTGATCCATGACGCAGTCATGCTTTTTCTAGTACAAATTTTTTCTAGAAAATCACGTTTCACCGAAACATTGATGAACATTGTTCGCAATTAAACATTTAATAATTTTATTAGTAGTAACAGCGAAATAAAAAAAAAAATGTTTAATTATTAACACGTTCGTGGTCACTTCACTTTTTAATATTATTCAAGTACCTACCTCAGAGAATCACTTTTATATTACTGCTACAGCATGATACAAATTAAACGAAATACAAATGAGAAATATAAACATAGAATTGTTTATTTATTTATGCCCAAATATACGACTGATCATAGTAGCCATAATTAGTCAGATGTCTTGTTTCATTTAATACCAATGAAAATAGTACTAAATAGTACACTGAAAAAATTTACGGAGACTGAGAAAAACACGGAGTGTAAATATCATACAAACACACGGCGAGCGTTGAGTGGTGAGCGGTGGACGATGATCGGTGAGTGGTGAAGAGTGTATACTAAACAGCAAACGATCAGCGTTGTCTATAATATTTAATAGTCACCTGCAGTCACCACCATGGTTAGGTTAGGTGCTCAACCTAGGTTAGCTAACCTTAGGTTAGGTGATCAAAATTCCGACGTATTTTACTTATGGAAAATACATTTTTACGAAATAAAAAACATAGAAGAATTGAAATGAGTGCACGAATTGAACAAAAACACGCTATACATAAGCGAGTTTCATCGTATTTATAATAAATTAAGAAGAGAGTGAAAGGTTTTTTTTTAATTTTTTTTTTAATTTTTTAGGTATATCAATAGAGA